TCTCACGGCCCTGTAACACCCGGATGGGGCCTGGCGAAGGAGACCCCGCTGTTCCTTCGCTTTGATTAAGAAATTGTTTATTCAGATTCTGATTTTTGACAAAGCAAATGGATTAATAAAGGGCTCATTTATGCAGACAGCATGGGCACGGGTGATTTTCTCCTGCTTAACACACCCCATCCGCCCGCCCGCCCCCCACGAAGCAGAACCTTCCCAGTGTTCCTTAAGTACTTTGATTCAGGTAATCATTTAATTGCAAATATAAACCAGCAGCGCAAACCCTTTGCATTTTTAACCAGTGCCAGGCGGAGATGATGGCGGGAGTGGGAATACGCCATGATGGAAATGCTTCTTTAAAATTTAAATTTTATGGCCTTTTCCTGCGCATTGCTGCTGGTGATCTTGGAGAGCACAGCTGGCCCGTTTACAACGCGTCCCACTAGAAAAATTAGCCCACATTTGTACTTTTGCTGCCTTCGCTTGCTCTTCACAGAGATGCTGATGTCCATACGCCGGGCCCGTGCTTGACTCTCCTCTAGAGCAAGGGCACAATCTGGCAGGAGCCGCTCCCGTGCCAGGCAAGGGAGGGAGAGTTGAACAAGTTCTCAGAATGCCGTGCAGTTCTTGTGCCATGCTCACTGCTCATTGATTCCACAGTGCAGGCGATCTGTGCCCTTTTGAGTTGTCCTCAGTGTGGCTTCTGCCCGGTTGCATTGCCTGGGGATCTGAACTCGGTGCTTCTCCCAGGCTGCCTTGAGAGGTCTCTGCTGGCGATCCACACGGGTCTCCGGGCCAGGTGTCAGGGAGCTGACATATAGGGTGGAGAAGGGGAGCAACCACTGCTTGTCATTTTAACTTTCATTTCTTACCGCCTGACAATACTGTGTTATCTATGTATTTCATGCGGCTGACCTTGAGTGCCTAGCTGTGACACATTCCCTGAGAACGATCCCGTTGCCGGGGCGTCTGGCGGGCTCCTCCTAATGCCTTGATTGGCTACGCGCCATCAGAGTACCCCTTTGAAGCCAGCATATCTCCCATCCCCGCGCCTTTTCCGTTAGTCTTAACACAGATCCTGGAATGTAGATGCTCTGCCAATACTGTACCAATAAACTCTACTTCTAAAGAAGAGAGTTGTTGGATCTGGTTGCTGCAGGAGTCTGACACCAGGCTCTGTAAGCAGCAGCAGGCTGCAGGACTCTCTCGTGAGGAACAGAGAACCGTAGCAATAGAGCACCGGAACTGCCTGTTTGGACCAGACCAGACCGGTGGAGCCAGCCTGACAGTCTTATTTATTTATTATTTTGATTTATACCCCGCCCTCCCCGCAAGCGGCCTCAGGGCAGCTTGGGGAGGTCACTAAATAGGACACAGTGAGTTGGTGGTCTTCCCCTGACATTGCCCTCCAATATCCAGCATTCAGGAGGTTCCACTGAGCTCTCACAGGCAGCAGACAAAGCAGCCTCAGTCCTCATGGACGGCTTCAAGAGGGAATTAGGTAAGCCTATGGAGCAGAGAGGTCCAGCACTGGGTATTAGCCACAAGGCATAGCATTCTGTGCGCTTTGGCGTTTAGTCATGCTGGCCACATGACCACGAAACGTCTTCGGACAGCGCTGGCTCTTTGGCTTGGAAACGGAGATGAGCACCGCAATCCTAGAGTCGGATTTGACCGGCTTTCGAGCAAGGGAAATCTTTACCTTTACTATAGATAGGAACTCTCGGTCTGGGGCAAGTGATGCTCTGTATTCTTGTTGCTTGGGGGGGGGCAACAGTGTCCTGGCCCCACTGCTGGACCTCCTGACGGCACCTGGTCTTTTTGACCACTGTGTGACAGAGTGTTGGACTGGAGGGGCCACTGGCCTGATCCAACATTGGCTACTCTGATGTTCTTGTGTTCTCACCAGGCCAGAATTTCCTGACCCCTCCCCGGCAAGCCTCCCCCCACTCTCACTTGGCTGCCCCTTACCCAGTCCGAGTCACCATCTTCTTGTAGCAGGACCACGTGAAGCCGCCAAAAGCTCCGGCCCCGCCAGACCATCCTTCACCATTTTTTGTTTTCAGTGTGAATCCTGGAAACATGATTCGCTGGCCTGGTAGCAACAGAGAGGACCTATCCACATTGCAACAGCAGTGCTGCGTGGGGGACTGTTTCACCGTGGCTTCATTCTGTGGCGCTACTCTGATGTTCAAAGGTTCCACCACTGTATCCTTGTCAACGAACTGTGTGGTTGGCCATGCCCATGTGGTAGTGAGCCTCCATACCTTAGAACACGGGTGTCAAACATGTGGCCCGGGGGCCAAATCAGGCCCCCGGAGGGCTTCCATCAGACCTGCAGTAGAACTGGCCATCTCCTGCTTCCACTTCTGCTGCTGCATCATAGCTTGCTTCGCCAGACTCTCTTAATCACTCAGCCATTTCATGTTTTAACCTGGGTCCTAGACTCAGAGCTCTGAATGAGATTTCTGTGGTGAATGTCAGTAAATCAAAAGTAGGTTTGCAACTTACAGAGCTAAGCATGCTTTTATTTTAAGTAAAAAAAAATCTTTGCGTTTGTGTCCTTTAAAAAGTTTATATCTCCGCTACCAGTTTGGTGTTAGCCAGTTTGGTGTTGAGAGCCAGTTTGGTGTAGTGGTTAAGTGTACAGACTCTAATCTGGAAGAACCGGGTTTGATTCCCCACTCCTCCACTTGCACCTGCTGATGTGACCTTGGGTCAGTCACAAGGTCTGGCACAGCTGTTCTTGAAAAAGAGCAGTCTGTGTCAGAGTTCTCTCAGCCCCGCCCACCTCACAGGGTGTCTGTTGTGGGGAGGGGAAGGGAAAGGAGTTTGTAAGCCGCTCTGAGACTCCGAGTGAAGGGTGGGGTATAAATCCAATCTCTTCTTCTTCTTCTGCTTCTTCTACCTGGCGCTACATTTTATGACATGCATGGCCTGGCCCAGCAAGGTCTCATTTATGTCAGATCCGGCCCTCATAACAAATGAGTTCGACACCACTGGCTTAGAATATCATCACTGGATCCTAGAACAAGGTTGCTGTACTTTAATGTCAGACTCCAGAGTTCTGCATGCTCATGTACCCGGTGAAAGGGCACGTGTGATCCAAGGCCACAGCTTTCGTGAGTCATACTAAAGTGGTCCTGACTGAGGCAAAGCCTGATCAATAGTGGCGCAAGGATTGGCCTGTGTTCCCTAGCACTTTTCTTGCCCATCACCAGTTCCTCCACTTTATTTCATCAAGGGCAGCAGGCTGAAAGGTCCGGTTATCCTGGAGAGCCAGGCACCACTTGAGTGTTAGGGGGGGGGGGGGGGGGGGGGGATGTCAAAGGTTGATTCTCACCGCTTTTGCAAGCTACCTGGGCTGCCTGCTAATAGAGAGGTAAAATCGAAGCATTGAAAATATGCATTTTATAATCACACGGATTTATTCCTTCAGAGAGTTTATTACAACCTTTTTATTTCCATGCGTGGCAAATGTAATCTTATCTGGCTGCGCCGGCTGGCCTAGCTCAGCCAGCTGAATCCGTTTTGTGGTGGAAAGCGATCAAATGCCAGCCCTTCCAGGGCACGCTGTGTCTGCATGTTAAAGTTGCTTGAACGCATTAAAGCGGCTGAAACGTGCATTAAAATATGGCACTGGGAGAATAGGATATCTGTGCAATTAGCCATCTGATGCTTTCAACAGCTGCTTGTAAGTTAGATCCGGTGCATCAACAAAAAGGATACCTTGGAGATTTTTTGCAGAAGAAAGGAGCTGGCGAGGAGGCTGCAGTGGAGCCCTCCCCCACCCCCGTCAAGGAAAAGGAGCAGCCTTCGAGTTTGGGAGTGTGCCCTCGTGTGTGTGCTGTAGGCGAGAAAGCCAGGAAGCCCTTTGAACTACTCTCCATTTTGTGCTCCCCACTCCCCCAGTTATCAAGCTGATACCACTGAACTGCCCACATGTTCCCCGGGCACTGGGGAGCACAGCTACCGACACGGCGAGTTCAGGAAGCAAAATCCTATTAAGATAACGTCACGGGCTTTCTGTTTTACTGTTTGCAAGCCAGCCGTGGTATCGTGAAATAGCACAACAGGGATGCGCCTGCTGCCAAGGAGCTGCGCTCCAGATAAGACGGGGCTGAGCCTGTGCCAGAGCTGGGGCTGAGGTGACAAGGAATTTGGAGCCCATCCAACCTTTGATTCACACAAGCAGGAGCTTGCTCTCGCAGACAGCAGGAGCTTGGCAATTCAGGCAGCTGCCACCTTTCCAGGGTAGTGAGGGTGGCATGAAAAAAAGGGTCACATCGCCGTGTTGGTTGCAGGGGAGGGAGAGAGAGAGAGCGCACATCCTCCAGACGTGTGCGTTTCCATGTATTTCCATTTATTTACATCCCGCTTTCCCCCCAAGTCGGGAGTTAAAGCCGCTTTTAAAACATCCTTCTCCCCTCCTCCAATTTTTTTACAACAACAGCCCTGTGAGGCAGGCCAGAATGAGAGTTTGCGACAAGTCCAAGATCACCCAGTGAGCTTCCATGGCAGAAGTGGGCATTCGAACCCAGCTTGCCCAAGGCCCTAGTCCGCCCCTCTATCCACTCCACCACACTGGGTCTCCAACGGGTGCGGTGTGGCCTGTGACGGCACCACAGGGGCAGCTGACTGTGGGCCACTTTTCTGCCAGCCCCGGCCCTGCTGTCCGGGAATTGTGCCAGGGAGGGCTGGATCCACAGCCTGGCCAGCCAGCCAGCCTCCCGTTCCGTCTCTGGTCATGCCTGGCAGGCGGGGTCAGAGAGGGCTGTTCTTGCTTGATGGGTCTGGGCTCGGCCGTGGTGTCCTGAGCCTTCTGCTTCTCCTGGAAAGCAGCCCATGAAGTCTGCAGGAAGACACAGGGACAGGTTCACAATCTCGCAGGGGTTCATCTGGTCAGGGTGGTGGTCTTGCTCATCACGCAGTAGTGTCCTGGGGCTAGCTGTTTTGGAGTTGGGCGTAAACCACAGAATACGAAGCCCTCTCTGTTTCCTCAGGTAACTCCAGGCTTGGAAGACAAAGAAGGGGAGCTCTTTGTGAAGGGGCCAACAGTGTTTCAGGAATACTGGAGCAGACCTAAGGAGACCAGAGACGCCTTTACTCCGGACGGCTGGTTTAAAACAGGTACTGTGTTTCGGGGTCTGTGAGAGAGCCTCCTGGAAGTTTTTGTTCATCTGGGATCGGTCAGTGGCTTCAGGCTGGAGGGGGGCCATCTGTCCCCGCCTGCTCAGCTGGAAACAGGAAACTAGGGTGCCTCTTTTGCCTGGCCTCAGCTTGGGCTACGGCTGCCAGTGCAGAGAAATTAACTTGCCCACCACGTTTTGTCTGCGCAGAGCCCTTGATGACTCTTACCCGATTTGTCTTCCCAACAACTCTGTCAAACTGGCTCAAGCCACATTCAGCAGGTGCTCCAGGTCGCTAGTCCACATTAAGCAGGGCTCCGCAGAGGTGACAAATTAATGCCCAGAATAAACCATCTAAGTTGAATGCGTGTCCAGCCGGGCCGGGGTTACAGGGGTCATTTCGTAGAAAAAGAGGTGCAGGAGCTCATTACCATAACTCATTAGCATAACTTATTTGCATATGCCACACCCCCTGACATCACCGGAAGTGTGTCAGAAGGCAACACCCACTGCTCAGGTTCCACTGGACTGTTTTGGATTGCTAGCTATGGGGGGGGGGGGCGCACAGATCTGTCCTCGCAGAGGGGGGAGAGCGTGTACCTGAATAAAACTTGGTCTTAAAGGTGCCACTGGACTGTTTTGGACCTGGGGGGCCAGGGGAGCTCTGCAACTTACCTGGCTGCTTCTTGCTCTGACTGAGGGCTGCTGGGAGCTGAGGGGTGGGCCTTGTTGCATGTGCCCGCCCCCTGGGCTCTTTACTGCCGGAGCTCCACTCCTGTGCGCTCCTGCAGGAAATGACCCCTGCGTGTATTTATTTAAAACATTAACATGCCGCCTCTTCAGAGATGTACTTTCTTCGTCTGGCCCTGGACATTCAGTCTTTGGATGGCAAAACAAGCTCGACTGTCTGGTTAGGTGGACGGGATGACCGACTCTGCCTCCCCCAGGTGTTTGCGCTGGGGTGTCGCCTCTCCATATGGCTTCCTGCCTGATCCAAGCCATTTGGCAAGGAAGAGAGCCACATTAGGAGAGTAGCTGAGAAACTGAGCGGCCAATGCAGATGTCCCTGGTTCGAATCTCAGCTTGCCCAGAACTGACTTGATGGCCTTATGGGAAAAGAGGTGCCGGAACCAGTGTTCCCTCTAAGCTGAGTTAGTGTGAGCCAGCTCACAGTTTTTTAGCCTCCGGCTCACACATTTTTGTCTCAGCTCAGGAAGGATGGCTCCAGAGCAAACTGACTGATGCAGTGGCCAAATCGCTCACTCACAACTTTAATGCCAGGAGCTCACAAAGTAGAATTCTTGCTCACAAGGCTCCATAGCATAGAGGGAGCATTGGCCGGAACTCTCAGGAGGGAAACGAAGTTTTCAATCTGTATTCTGAAAACTCATGAACTTCTTAACACTTTTAAAAGAATTTTGTCAAAGAGGTTCCGGAACCCCCTTCCGGCATATTCCCCCAGAAAAAAAGCCCTGGTTCAGTGTTTTGCTTTTTCCATCTGAAACCCTGTAGCAGGATAACAAGTGAATGCTTTAGGAGCTTTGAGGTGTGATGTACATGCAAGATGATGTTGGGGTGAAGAGTCAAATGCTCCAAGTTGACTTTTTGGCGCGCTCTTAGTGACCTTTTTATGTATGTTCTGACTTTTATTTTTAATTCAGCGAAAACACACACCCTGCACTTGGGCAAGCTTTGTGACTGGCACAGCCCTTGGGCAAGGGGCACGATTTGGCAGCTCGATAGCAGCGGGTGATGCAGAGATGGGGATCATCAGGATATTTTTAAAAGTTTTTTTTTTGGGGGGGGGTGGGATTGACCCTCCTGATGAGTATTTCAGATGCAAAGGAATAGCATGCATTAATTATTGTAAAGAGATGTCTTTAGGAGAAAATGATTTTGAAATCCAGTTTAATTTCATTGTAATGCACTGCAAACAGGAAGAGGGAGTATGTGTGTTTAATTGGCTCTCGGGGGTACGGCCTGGAAGATGGCATGCCTTTGTCACAGACCATTAGCGATACAGACTGCATAATGAGAAACTACAATCAGCTCACAGCTGCTGGCTCCTACGGGGAGAGAATGATATTAAATGGAAATCAGTATAAATTAAACTTAACCCTTTCACGGACCAAATTTAACTTCCAAGCTAGAAATGCTAGGGGGAGGCGGCGGGGGTGGGTGCAAATTAGAGGCAAGCTCCGTCGCCGGCATTCTCGCTTCATCCTTTCTCTCGTTTGAAAGTGACTGGGGCTGTGGAGGTGTTCGAATCATTTTTCTCTCCGGTTCCCCTCGGCTCCAGTTCCCCTCTTCTGGATCCTTTGCACCTAATTTTGTAGACAGTGTACACAGGAGCTGCCTTGTTAGCGACTCTGCTCGGCACACGTGCCAATCCAGATGAGGCTGGTTCTGCCGTTGCAGAGGCCCGGGGGTTCCCCAAAGCTCACAGTTTCAGGCTATGATGCTCTCGAACCGACCTCTGCAGCAGTTAAGGCTCTAGGTTATTTTTAAAATTTTGGGGGTGGGTGCTGAGGTGCTCAGGACATGGGTTTCTCCGTTTGCGCTTCGCCGTCAGATGCACGGAACGCGCCTGGCTCGCACTGTGCGTGACCCGGTGGGCCAGGCTCTCTCCGTACTTCCGATGCATCCCAGGGAGATGCCGACTCATCAGGCTTTTATGTGGAGTAGCAAAATGGCTGTTACTAAGTGAGTGCTAGAGAATGCATGTGAATGAGTTAAACAGAGTTAATTACTGGCAGAGCAAGCCGGAAGAATGCAAATGAGAGAGAGAGGCTGTAGGTGTAGCAAGGGCGTGTGCAGAGAACGTGCTGCTGGGAAACGGATCTCCAAACCTTGCGTGCTGCAGGACGAGAGCCTTCAGTGAGCAAGTGGGCGGGCTGCCGGAAATCCCTGACCGCTGGTCCTGAGTGGCAAAAGTGTTTTAAGTACATCTCATGCACGACCCAGCCAAGGGTCTGTTCCAGACAGAACGTTGTTAAAGAGGGACCTTCAACACCGGCACCTCTCCCCCAGCTCTTGTGACTAGACCAGAACGGGATGCAGATGGTGGACTCTTGAGGTGCTGAATGCAGGCTCGTGGCCAGGATTTATTTAGTCAGGGGGCATTTAAATTTCTTAGGGGGCACTGGCCAGTTCAGTGTCGTGGTTAAGTGCGCGGACTCTCATCTGGGAGAACCGGGTTTGATTCCCCACTCCTCCACTTGCCACCTGCTGGATGACCTTGGGCAAGCCATAGTTCTGACAAGAGCTGTCCTTGAAAAAGAGCCGTTTCTCTCAAAGCTCTCTCAGTCCCACCTACCTCACAGGGTGTCTGTTGTGGGGAGGGGAAGGGAAAGGAGTTTGTCAGCTGCCCTGAGACTCTTTTGGGTAGTGAAGGGTGGGGCATAAATCCAATCTCCTCCTCCTCTGCTTCTCCTCCTCCTCCTCCTTTTTCTTCTTCTTCTTCTTCTTCTTCTGATCAAATGAAAGGAATACCCAGCTCCTTCCCTGCATCCGTCACCACTTGGGGGCCCTGGGCTGGATGGGAAGTTGGGGGGGCCTGTCAGTAAGTCGGGGAGGCTAGCCCCGAGATGCCCCACTGTAGCTACAGGCCTGGCTGAATGCTTTGTCAGCCCACCAGACTGCTGTGTTGGTTAGCAGGCTGATGCTCCCGGCTTGAAGGCCGTGCCACCGAAGACCAGCAGGGTGGGCGCAACAAAGGCTTCTGGGTCTTTCTTGGCCTTCGATGGCTCTGAGCGGTGTGCTGGTTTGCCCTGTTTCCAGCCCTAGAAGCAAGAAGAGCCAGGGTCCAGGCCAGAGCCCCCAAAAGCACCTGGTGACCCAGTTGTGTCCCTCAGACTGTAAGTGGTGCCCTCCCCTTGTCTTGCGACGGTCCCCGTGTCCTGAGGCCGCCGGCAGGATGTTCTTCAAGGACATGTGGAAGGGAGCAGGCGCTCGGCTGGGGCAGGAGCACACCGGGAGCAAAGTGAGCCTGGGGCGGGCACACGGCTCTGGCGCTCTTGACTCCGAGCCATAATTTAGCATTCTGCTGATTGCTAACGACACTCCTGGAAAGCAGCAGGTCAGCAAATGAAGAATAATTGCCCGCAGCAAAAGCGCACGGCAGTGCTAACACGCTGCTGCTGCTGCTTCTCGTGACGGAGGGAGCAGCAGCCCAGACGTCTAGGGCAGGTCAAGGAGCCGGAGAGTGCCCAGAGGTGGGGCAGACGCCCAAAGGGCAGGGGAGTCTGCACAGCCGTCTCTAGCTCGTCTCACAACCGCGAATGCCAACAGAATCAAGACGGAAGCCGCAGTCCTTTAATTGCCCGCTTTGCATGACGCGGAACTGCCTTTTCTGCATCTTGCCAAGCCATCCAGCACTGCACAGCTAAAAGCTGGCCTCGCCTGCCCGTGTGCATGCCCCTCCTGGCCATCGGCTGAGCCGCTGTGTCGTCACAGGCATTCCGTAACACTCAAACAGTGTCTTCCCCCAAGGGACATCCAGAGAGCCCCTCCAACACGTTATTTCGCTGTAATCTTTTGGGTAACCCATGTTGAGGAGCAGAGCAGGATAGAAATGTTTTAGACAAATGAAAACCTTACCACAGCCCTGCAAGGGAGACTAGCATTACAATCCGCCTATGGCCAATGGAGGACTTTGTGCACCAGGGCTCTGAAGTATACGTGGAAGGCTGCTTCTGTCGTGACAAAAGAACTGCAGAGCGTTAGAGGCTGCTTACGAGTGAGTGACATGTCTGTGGTGCAAACATGCACAGGGGGTGCCATCTGCCGGAAACGTCTCTTGTTCAAGCCCCGTCGGAGAGAATGCAAGCATATAGTGCAGCCTGACCAACATGCCTGGCCTCCGCCTTGAGTCTGTGCAGACGTACGTCCCTCCACTGTTCAAAAGGGCTATTCCGTCCCCTCCCCTTTGAGTCAAAGCGCACTGGAGCATGAATGGCAGGATCAGAGAGCGACCTCTCCCCAAGGGAAGACCAGCTTCCT